GAGCGTAAAGAGCAGAAAAGATCTGTTGAGTCCAGTGGCCTGATTTCTACTGTACATGCTATGCAACAATACTTAGAAATACCTTCACTGTCTGAATGACAGCAAACATGCATATGAACATACGAACTCGGATCAGAAGTGGTCCATTCAGGCCCTCAAACCTGCTTTGCCATTCAATAAGATCAATGTGGCTGATCTGTTTGTTTTTAATCCTATATTCCCATTTATTCCAATAACCTTTTGATTCCCTTGCCTGATAACCTGTCTACCTCTTCAAAATATTTAAGATCTTGCCTCCAACATCTTCTGAAGCAGTGTTCCAAATTTGCGTAATCGTCTGAGAAAAGAAAAGGAAATCCCTAATTTTTAAACAGTGACTCCTAGTTCTGGACTCAGTCACAAGAGGAAACATCCTTCCCACATCCGGCTTAACATAGCCATTCAGGATCTTTTATACTTCATTTAAGTCACTTCAAGCCCAGTCTCTCCAACCTTTAAGCAGTTTAAGAAGCTTGCCATTTTTGGGTCAAGGCATGGGTAATAAATGCTACATTTCCTGTAACTCTCAAATTCCAAATGTGAATTTTAATAAAAATCTGAGACATCATACCTCCTTGTGAGAACTTGTTCCCCAATGTATGTTTTTGAGCTTGTGAATTACTTGCACAAAGCAAATCTAGGGCAACTAAAGCTTGAGGCCAGCTTGCTGTTTAGCTCAATCATTATAGGTTTTGACTTGATTATTGATGTAAAGACATGAGTGTATATCACCAGAGGCAAGTGAAGAAGGAGCCGTCCTCTTTTAAAGAAAAAGCATTCAGGTATAACAAAGCAACACAAAAAATAGTACCTCTGGATATGGCAAGTGCAAGTTTTTAATGCGCTTTCGTGTGGTTGGAATCAATCACGCATGTTCCAGGTCTGGCAGTGTCTACGGAAAGAAGGCAGAGTTAATGTTTTGGGTCCAGTGACTCTGCTTTCACTCCATAGATGCTGTCAGACCTGCTGATTTTGTGCAGCAATTTTTGTTTCAGATTTCCAGCATCCACAGTTCATTGTTCTACTTTACATTATAATCCAGGATTTAATAAATTAATCCATGTTAGCTACACCAAAACAAATGTGTACATTTTAAATGGTTTAGAGGACCATGGTGCAAATTGTCCTGTGAATGGAAGGGGAGCAGTGTCAGAACTAATGATATGGTTCTAAAACGTTGTGAAGTTCTTCAGAGTTTCTGTAAATATTAAGAAACAGCAGATTTCAAAAGTTGGTACAGGGATGGTAGTACACTATCCCTGGGGTATTGGGACTGCTTCCGGGGAAAGGGGCACATGTACAAAATGGACAAGTTGCACTCTAACAGATCCAGGATCAATCGTAGGGCAAGATTGGGTGGATATAGATGACCTGTTTTCCCTGGCTGGTGACCCTAGAACCAGGAGGCATACTGTGAGGATAAGGGGCAGGCTATTGAAGATCGAGATGGGAAGCTTCTTCACTCAGAGGGTGGTGAGCCTTTGGACATCTCTGCCCTGGAGGGCTGTGGAAATTCAATCATTGAGCAGGTTCAAGGCAGAAACCAATAGGTTTCTGGAGACTGACACTAAGGGATGTGGAGATAATGCAGAAAAAAATGGCTTTAAGCAGATGATCAGTTATGATCCAGAATAGCAAAGCAGCTTGATGGGTGAATATCGTACTCCTGTACCTATTTTCTAAGCTGCAAAATCTTCATGCTGCATGGTTAACTCATGCCTTTTGGAGAGGATTTGCAAGATTTTGACATTGGACAGTAGAAGAGAGCAACACTGAGAATTAGAAATATCCCAAAGATTAAGGCACATGACTGACGAAACATTCTTTTCCGATGAAAGTTGTTAGGATCTGGAACACTGTTCCTGAAAATCTGGTGGAAACTGGTTCCATGAATAATTTTTCAAAAAGGATTATGACAGATGAGGAAGGTGAGGAATTTGATGGCTACAGACAAAAACAGAGTTGTGGGTCGAAGCACAGCTTCTCTTTCTGCCACAAGATGTAGGAGCAGAAGTAGGCCATTTGGCCCATTGGGTCTGCCATTCAGTATTATTGATAATCCAATAATCTTCAACTCCATTATCTTGCCTTTCCCATAACCCTTAATTTCTTTACTGATTTAAAAATCTGTCTATTTTAGTTTTGATTGTACTGTTCAATTTAGTCTTGACAGCCTTCTGCAGTAAAGAGTTCCACGGATTTACCATTATCTGAGAGAGAAGATTTCTCCTCATTTCTGTCCTAAATGGACATCTCCTTACTTGGAGATTTATACCCTTTGGTTCTAGACTGTACCATACGGAGAAAGAACTTCTCCGCACCTACCCTGTCATGTCCGTTAAGAATCTTTTATGTTTTAGTAAGGCGTCCTCATTCTTCTGAGGTCCAATGAGTATAAACTCACCCTCCTAATATTTGATTCCCTGGATTAACCTAGTGAACCTTCCCTGGATTGCTTCTCGTGCCTGTATATCTCTCCTTAAATAAGGGACCAGAACTATTTGTATATTCCAGCTGTAGTCTCACTAGTGCCTTGTATAATATTAACAAGACCTCCTCCCTATTTTTGTACTCCATTCCCTTTGAAGTAAAGCCCAATGTTCCATTTGCCACTGTATTACCCATGGAACTTGGATGCTAGCTTGTGATTCAGGCGCTAAAACCCCCCAAAACCCTCTGTGCTGCAGTTTTCTGCAGTTTCTCCCCATTTTAAACAATATTCGTCTCCTGTATTCTTCCTGCCAAAGTGCATTACCTTGCATTTTCCCACTTTATATTCCAAGTTTTTGCCCACTTGCTTAACCTGTCTATATCTTTCTTTAGACTCCTTATATCATCCCCACTACTTGCCTTCATACCTATTTTTGTCACCTGCAAACTTGGCGATAGTACATTCACTTCCCGTCATGTAAGTCATTAATATAAATTGTAAATAATTGTGGCTCCAGTGCTGATTCTTGTGGCAGTTCATTAGTTTCAAATTGCCATTCTGAAAATGCCTCCTTTCTCCCAGCTCTGTTTCTTCCATTACTCAGCCCATCCTCTATCCATGGTAATATACTACCCCAATATGTGCCCTTATATATTAAACAGGCTTAAGTGTGATATCTTGTAATATCTTGCCTTTTGGAAATGCAAATATATACATTTACTGGTTTCCCTTTATCTACCCAGTTTGTTACCTTTTGCAGGAGCTATAATAAATTTTTCAGGCATGATTCCCCCTTCGTGAAGCCATGCTAATTCTTCTTTGATTATATATGTCTTTTTAAACCCTCTACTATTACTTTTCTCATATCTTCCCAACAACAGGTGTAAAGCTAACTGGCCTCTAGTTACTTCTTATTTTGTTTCCCTCCTTTTTGGAATAAGTAGTTCACTAATCCTCTGGGGCTTCTCCAGAATCCAAGATTCTTGGAAAATTACTACCAGTGGAGCGAACATCCCCGTAGCTACATTCTTCAAAATCCTTCCATGCAAGTCCAGGAAACTTATCGGTCTTTAACCCCATTAGGTTCCCTAGGAATAGTTATTGTTTATTTCTTCTCCACTTTAGCCACTTCATTATTGAATATATGTGGCATGCTATTTGTAGCCTGTACCATGTAGACTGGTGCCAAGTATTTTGTTCAACTTCTCCGCCATTTCTTGACTGCTATTGTTTTTGTCCCCAACCTTGTTCTCTAAGGGCCCATTGCTCACTGTTGTCTCTCTCTCTTCCTTTTGAAGAAACTCTTACTGTCTATTTTTGTGTTACTTGCTAGTTTGCTGTCATAGTTTATTTTCTCCATCTTTCTTTATTAATATATCTTTCCAATACTCTTGCACAGTGGACTGAATAGCCTCTTGCACCTCTTTAAGTATGTATGAACTGGCTTATGCCTTCCTTTAATTGATAGCGAGTAACAAGTTGCTTGAGCTGAGGGGACGCTAAGTTGCCTGTTATGGGTCATTCTGATTAATTTGACAGCTGAAGTGAGTGGTAATCCATAGCCAAGGTGCTGTTATTGGCTTGATGGCATGCTAATGGAGCTTCCCACGCTGCCCAACATGATACTATAAAGTGGGGTAATCTAACAGGGCAAGTGGTGCTCTGTGCTGGGAAGCTACAAGGGTTAAACTGGTTTAAATATGAGAATTGCTTATACAGTCACTTGGGGTCCTACCATTCAGATGCCAGTGAATTTCTGCACTTCTATAAATGGGGCACCTCTCTGCGGGAGACATCTAGTATTACTTGTATGAATTTCTAAGTGCTTTGTGTTTGGAGGCACTTCAGCATGGTGATTAGTTTCTGCATTATCCAATACCCTGCAGATTACATTTTCTTTTCAATTATGCAGAAAAATTAGGCCATCTCAACTAATTTATTTTTGGAGCCTTTACTATAAAGCTTTACTCAAAGAAAGGGAAACTTTAACAATAGTGCTTTTTATTGGACAAAGATTATGGTTATTTAAGAACTCACTGTGGTGAAATTAATCTTCCAACTTGCTACATGGCCGTGTTCCACAGAGAACTGAATTTGAATCCAGGCCATACTGATAAATGACTTTCTGCATTACTTCAGGGATTCAAAGCAAACAGAATTTGGGTGTGGAGAAGATCTGTTGTAATGCAAAGAGAGCTGTTAGCTTGCATCTAACTCCAGCTGTACTTTACAGTCAAATGTGAAAAGTGGGACAATGTTTTAGTCGAAATAATGGTAACCTGCTGCTCTGACCTCACATTGATTCCTCTCTTTATCTGCCCTGCCACCATAATTTGTTTTAAAAATCCTTCCCTGGACTGGGGGGTGGAAACAGTAGACTGATGACAAAGTTATTCAAATGGTTAATTTATTTTATTCATTCGAGAAGAGTACGTGTCACTGGCTGGGACAGCATTTATTGTCCACTGCACCACCCAACCCTATCAAAACAAAATCCCTGTTTAAAGCAGCTTTGCTCTCTATTCAACAGGTATGGGATTCGTCCAGAGAATGTGATCCTGTATGGTCAGAGTATAGGCACAGTACCTACAGTGGATCTGGCTGCTCGATATGAATGTGCTGCAGTTGTGCTTCATTCTCCCTTGATGTCTGGTATGCGTGTTGCCTTTCCTGATACCAAGAAGACATACTGCTTTGATGCATTCCCCAAGTAAGTCATTTTTCTTCTAGTGTTCACAGATAATTACTGACTGCTAGCAAGGTTAATGTTTAAAACCTTTTGTCGTATATGTTCCTCAGATTTTGTGTTAGAAAGTAGGGAGAGTGCGGATTCCTCTGGGGAATGGCCATGGCCCTGCTGCATAAGGGGGCAGCAGAAAGAGAGGAAAAACAACAGTGGTAAGAGTCTCAAATGTGAGAGGTATAACCAGGTATTTCTGCAGCCGCAGATGTGACACCACCATGGGGTGCTGTATCCTTGGTGCCAGGGTTAAGGATGTCACTGAATATCTGCAGGGCATTGTGAAGTGGTGGGGGGGCGGGGGAAGTAAACAATCAGATTGTAGTTCACATTGCGACCAATGACAAAGGTAGAAAGAGATAAGATCCTGCAACAAGAATTTGGTGAACTAGATAGATTAAAAAGCAGGACCTCAAGGGTTTTAATCTCTGGGTCACTCCTAAAGCCATATGCTTACAAGTAGAAGGTTCTTTGAATATAATCAAAGTGAGGTACAAGGGAGCACAGTAAGGCTGGATGGTATTTATTATAACGCGAGAAGTATTGCAGCAAGGCAGATAAGATGAGGGCATTGATTAACCCATCAGAACATCAAGAGACATGGTCAAGGGAGGGACGGTATTGGCAGCTTGATATGGAAACTTTAGGTGAGTTACAGGGTGGGATGTAAAAGGAGCTGATGTCACAATTTTCGTCAAGGAGTAATTATTGTAGTAAGAAGGGATGATAGCTTAGAAAGCTCCTCAAATGACACCGTAAGATAGAATTTATTAATAAAAAGATGCATTCACTTTGTTGTGTGTATGTAGATCTCCTAGACAGTTAGAGATAAAAAGACATATAAAAAGGCACATCTCAGAAATGTGGAAATGAGAGGATAATAATTGTTGAGGATTTCAATTTCCCCAATATTAAGTATCCAATGATAGGGGCCTAGGAAATAGAGGATCAGAAGGACCTTGGTGTGCATGTCTACAGATTCTTGCAGCCAACAGGACAGGTAGATAAGGTCATTAAGAAGGTATATGGGATATATGCTTTCATTAGTCAAGGCATTGATTACAAGGGCAAGGATGTTAGGATGGAGCTGTATACAATGATAGTTAGACCGCAACTGAAGGAGTGCGCAATTCTGGTTACCACACTGTGGGAAGAATGTGATTGCAGTAGAGGGGGCGCTGAAAGAGACTGACCAGAATGTTGCCTGAGCTGGAATAATTCAGCTATGATGAGAAATCAGGCTGGGATTGTCTCCCTTTTGCGCAGAGAAGACTGAAGGGAAATCTGATTGACGTGCACAACATTCTGACTGAATGGATAGGGTACCTGAAGAGCATGTTTCCTCTTAGGGAGTCATTAATCAGGGCATAGTTACAAGATAAGGAGAAGGAGGTTTAGAGAAAAGATATTGCATTTCAAATGTTCACCTAAATAACATGCAAAGCTATGGGCTAAGTCCTGGAAAATGGAGCTGGAACAGATTGATGTTTGATGACCCGCACAGGCACCATGGGCCAAAGGGCCTCTTTCCATGCTGTTGCAACTCTATGACTCACTCTATTGTTACATTTGTCCAGTTCAAGTAATGTGGTGCTACATTTAGTAAGCCTTCTGTAGCTTCAGCATAATGAAATGGTATGTCATTTACAATGAACCCCTAACAGTGCAGCACTCCATCAGTACTGCACTGGATGCCAGCATGGATTTTCTTTTTTAAATGTGTATGTGTTCTAAGGTCTTGAAGTGGGACTTGTACTAACAACCTTCTGATTCCAAGCTGAGAGTATTAACCACTGATCTATGGCTCAATTGTATTATCCTGTTGGTAGAAATATCCACAAGTGTAATGATCAGTTTTCAGGTAACCTCGAGACTGTATAACTCAGGATATCCTTCCTTCCTCATTGGAGCACTATCTGTCTGACTAAGTATTGTTGTTTTCCTGTGTTTTATCTGACATTTTGGGAGTTTATGAATTTATTGCCAAAAATCATTATGTCAGCTTCAAATTGCTTCAAACCTTCTGGATTTTTTGCCTCCTTAAGCATGATGTCCAGAATTCTGTGGATGAGGTTCATATGTTCCATGTATAAAGATCATATTTGCAGGTGTAAGAGATGCAAAATGCAGTTTTGGTATGTTGTTAGGATCCCCATAGAGATCAGTAACTTGAAAGAAACAAATTTTAGCTATTAATTAATAGCTGCATGGATCACACGAGATGTCGCATATTAAGATATTTACCGTAGTAAACAGACTAAAAACATGAATTTGTAAACATCACTCTGAGGCAAGTTGTTTGTTAAACTAGAAAGCAGAGGTTTTAACACAAATGAGAAAATACCAGCCTGGCTTTATTTTACAGTGTCCTTCAGGTAAACATTCAGTTCTTCTATAATCAGTCTAAATGATTCTTGGCTTCCAAGGATTTACTTCTAATCTTTTTCTTTCCCTGTCTGGAAACGTGTAACCCAAGAACTGACACGCCCCAAGTTCCTGGGCAACTTCTTTCTCGCACTAAGATTGGTCAAATTGTCTTGTCTTGCCTTGTTTTGTCTCCCTGCCAATTGGGTCCTTTCAATCCCAAGTGTGAGCTTTTGTTCTCATTCCAATGCAGTGAACCACAGACTTTTAGCATCTAAATTCATCCATACTGTCTTAATTTAGGCCACCTCAGACCTGGACAATTCAACTGTGTCTGAGTGTTTTTAGGTGCATCACGGAGATCTGTCTTTCAAACCCATCTCTGTGGCAATATAAATCACATGGGCCTTGTATCCAGGTGGAGATGTTGATTAGCTATTCTTGAAAACCCAACTCTCTTTCTTCTCACTAGGTGGACAGTTTGAAGTAAAACTGTTTTCACCCTGACACTTTTTTTGGGACTTTGGAGACTGGTTCCACTGTTAGCACACTGTACTTGCATTTCTCCAAGAGTAGCCTCTATGTACCTTTCTTCCCAGTAAAACTCTGTAGGCTGCCTTTAGCCTTCTAACAGTCAAACTACCCTGGCTTGCTGTCAGGTACATACCATATGACTGTTCTTCTTATCTTAAAGACAGTCCCAAAATATAACAATCTTGTAATTGTAACAATATAGATTTTAGATTCTTAAATTCAGTATACCATTTAAACTAAATTGTATGTCATCATTTATAGAATTATGCTGATTTTTAAAATGCATTTATTATTCAGCGCTACTGAAGCATGATCCTGCATTTCACGTTGCAAGAACTGAATGTTTAATATTGAGTAAACCTCAAAGTTAACCTGATTAGCTTTCTATTCTGTTTTAATGGTGGTCTCTAGGAATAGCTGAATTAAGGGATTATTAGTGGGTGCTAAAGTAGAAATAGTAACAGTGTTAAATGTAAAGTTTTGAGCTTGACTGGCCTTTCTAATAAAGTAAACCCACTGACTTCTTCACCATGACATTCAATGAATCTAAATTTTAATTTCTCCCGACAGCATTGACAAGATTTCGAAAATAGCCTCTCCAGTGCTGGTCATCCATGGGACTGAAGATGAAGTAATCGACTTCTCACACGGGCTTGCGTTGTATGAGCAATGTCAAAGGCCGGTAGAACCACTGTGGGTAGAGGGAGCTGGTCACAATGATGTGGAACTCTATGGACAGTACCTTGAAAGACTGAAGCAGTTTGTTTCTCAAGAACTGACAAATTCTTAAATGAAAGTTTAATATGCAGGGGCTTTTTTTTTGTTTTGCTATTTTAAAAAAAATCATGACTGCTTTCCATTTCTCATCGTCAAAGCATATATGCAACTGTAGTCTAACTGAGAAAAGCCTCAAAGGGCTTTGCAAAAATGAAGAACTGCCCTTAGGATTATAGAGGTTTGTAAACATAAAAATAGCGATAATTGCCAGTATTTTTACAAAATATATATATAAAACTGGAGCATGTAGTCAGTTTGTCAAATTGGTTTAGGGTGACGCTAAAAGAAATACATTTCCCCCATTCTTCTATTCAGAAATTTCAGATTAATAATGTGTAAAATATTCCTTCAATAATTGTGCACATTGTTGATTTGTGTATATTGCCAAATTGATTTGCATATCAATAAGGAACAGAATTGGATTGAATAGGCCATCTGGAATGCATCTTAGTAAATCAACTTCAATTTACATGTAGAGCAAAAATATTACTAATACTGGAAATCTGAATTTGAGGAACAGAAAATGTTGGAAATTAATTTCAGCAGGTCTGGCAGAGTCTGTGTTGCAAATTAAACTGTTGATGTTTTCGATTGTAACTTGTCAGAACCAGCTTCCAGCTTGGAATATAAAATTCTTCTTCAAGGCATCCATGCATAAATTTAAATCCTTAAACAGGATTTTAGTAATATTTTCAAAAAAATACACAATTGAAATACTTTAAAAACATGTATTAATAAAATCTAGACAATTTACATTTGATCTGAGCCGTTGCAGGAAGCTGGCCAGATATTAATGTATGAAAGCCATAGTGCATGCTGTGGTTTTTCAATTCAATAAAATAACTTGAATTTCCAACAGAGACATATGTAATGTAAATCTAATGCGATACAAGTCGTGAGACATGTAGCTGCTGAATTATTCAATAACGCTCCAGTTACGTGCTTGGCAGGATAGTGTAAGCAGGAAGTATTGTGGAGTGGGGTGGTGGTGCTGGTGGACATGGGCTCAGAATCTCGGCTTCAGAGTTGAAAGGACAAGAAATATTTACCCATTACACAAGGCTCATATCACCTAGCAAATTTGATGCAATCAAATATTGCAAGCAGCTTTCCGGATAAAGCTGGTCTTAAAATTTTCAACGCACGAGGATATATTTCAAGTGCTGAATTTACTGAGATGCTAAACTGAAAAATTGTACATACAGTTTGTTTTGCACACAATTTTAACAAATTTGTGGCCGCTCAGGTTTTGATTTTGTTTTGCTGATCATGTGAATAAACTCTGGTTTCAGATTACACATATGTACTATATGTAAATGCAAGGGAGATACGTGTTAAAACATACTTAACATCCATGACTTGAAGGAATTTTTTTTTCATTTTGCTGCAAAAACCTTTTGTAATGAGGTAGTTTTATCTTCTCCCCATCTTTTTGAGGGTAGGATAAGGAAGACTGGAGAAGGATGCCAAATCATGTTGAATTGGACACTAATTAGAGGATGGTTTTAATAAAAAGTAACCAACACACTGTAATACAGCATTCTTTTCAGGTGTATTCCCTGCTTCCCCTTCCCCCCCCCCTTCAGTGTTGCATACGTTAAGCTTTCTGAACATTATAGGGCCATGTGGAGTGAATGCATTTAAATGGAGAACGCAAAGGATTTTTTTTAAAAAGGAAGGGACAGGCTTTAACACTATGTAACTCAAAGTAGCCTTACAGAATTGCGACTTTTTTTTAAATGTGAATGTGTAAATGCTTGTAATTCTTGTATTTGAATTTTTATGCTGACGTATAATCCCATATTTCTGTATATCATGACCAAGTGCTATTTAGCAGTCAGTTGTATCTTGCCTGTGGAATAATTGTACAAGTCCGATTTATACATTCAGTGTCAAATAAGATATGGCAAGCAGGCATTGCCAGCGTTGATGCAATATGCTTTGTTCTAATAGTGCTATATTCTAAGCTTAGTACTTCAGGAGCCAAATATTAAACTCTGCTGGAGCACCCGTCTTTAAAGACTATGAAACA